CCAAAATGCCTCTACATATTTTGAAGTCGAAACATTTGAAGAGTCTTAAAATAGAGAAGTTTAAGTAGTTATTAGTTCCTTTTCCCAGTACTTATTCTCAGCTACACAGAAGAGTTTGCTATTTCTCTATCTGTGATGGAAAAAAAAAATTTTTGGAGTGATACTGTAAGTCAGAACACTAAAATAATATTACTGCAATGTAACTATTAAAGCAAGCTAGGACTTTCTGAATCAGTTTTAGCAGAGACAGCAACATGCCTTCAATAAGTCACACTACAGTCAGAGTTCAGACCCATCTAAGGAGTCAAAAGACACGAGGGAGAGGAAGATACTTTCCTTTCACCAAATTGTTAATTGTGACCAGGAAGGGGAGTGGTGGTCAAGCTGCAGTAATTGATGGCTTATCTTTAGCAGCTGTGCAGACTTGCTTCAGGGGTATTTCTAAAAGCAGGCAGGGACAGATCTTTTTCTTCAGGAAGACATGAAGATCAACATCAATGTGGATTACACCTATGAAAATATTGTGAAGAACTGGAGGAAAAATTTGAAATGGGGAAAAAATATGAGTCCTGTTATGAGGATTAATGCATACCTTTGGGCTTTATTAGTTTGCTCTATAGGTGAGTCAAAAGTTGCAACTCTTATAAAAGACTTAAGTTCTTAATGATTAGGCAAGTAACCTGTGAAAGAATGCTGGAGGAGAAACTGAACTAAAGGAGATATGTGAGCATATTTTAGTTTCTGTTCATGTATTGCTAAATTTTTGAATCTGAATGGCTAGAAAATGGATGTTATTACTGTACTCTGTGTTTTAAGCACTTAGACAAGGTTATCTCTAAGAAATCAGAAAAAGTTATTTTGTTACTGTAGTAATATTGCTCTCAAAATACAGACTGATAAAACTCAGTACCTTGTCCCAAAGAAACTAGGAACTTGTAATTTTAGTTTTAAAAACCACCATAACCTCAGAACTGTAAACTATTTGAAGTGAAAGCAGTAATACAAGTGTATAGTTGAAGATTATACTATAGCTGTGGAAACTTACTATTTTAGACAATGAGAAAGGAAAAGAAAAAGTGAACTCAAATTTAAAAATGAAATTTTACTGTGGGGATGAGTGACTGTTCACTGATCTACAGTAAGTTTTGTTCTCTGCTCTGTTAGTTTAAAAATAAATTTTTAAGAGCAACTTGAACATCTGTAAAAGGGAACCTGTGTAAGAGCATAGATTTAGTGCTACCAGAAAAAGTATCTTGGAGGAAACTGCTTTCTTTTGCCACAAACACACAAAAATAGCTATATGAGGCAGTTGGATGATACTAAATTGTGCTAATTTATGCAAGACTTACTCTTTTAAGTCTTACTGTGGCATAGTTAACTGTGGATGCCTAGATCACTTAATTTTCCTTTCCAATTTTACCACATCATTAATTTCCTTTAATGTGATAACAGCAAAGATGGACAAGTACTGCCTACAGTTCTTAGTGTTTTACTAAACTGCAACTTATTGCACAGCTTTTTAATGTTATCATTCTTATTTCTATACTGTATAATTGAGGACTATGAAAAATTTAAAATTGAATTACAGTGTTATAGTCTAATAATCCTTGATGGGATACCATTTCTATAGTTCCATATCCCAGATATATTTTCCAATAAGAATAGTGTGTCCTTCTGCCAAGTGCTTGAATTGAGTTGAAAGCTAGTGTTGTAAATCACCTTGTCTTCAGCTGGAAACTATTTCAGTGCAATCAGCTTCAGCTAATGACCAGTGCTGGAACAAGGACAGGCTTTTGTAGCACAGGTGTATAGAATATTGCTAATGTGGCTTTGGCCTCGTGTGCAAGACCGTGATAGCAACTGCACCAACAGATATTCCCAAAGAACTTGTGCTGCTGCGGTCTAAAGAGTAACAAGTGTGTAAATCCTCACAAAAAAAGTTTGGGGTATGTTACAGACTTACTTCCAATGCATGCTAAATTGTGCATGTTACGAAAGTTACAGCACTGGAAGTGATACACTTGAATGTGATACAATTGAAAGTGATACATTTGTATTCCAAAAAACACAAAGAAGCTGATATTTGTCTTTATTTGTGTTTTTCTGTCCCCCTCCTGAGCTATAAAATAAGGCAGAATAAAACTGAAAACTGTCATCAGCCTTATCACATATTTGTACAAGAATGGCTATTACTGGAATATGCTGAAAAGCACATTTAAAGGAGGAAAAAACAAACTAACATTTTTGTGGTAGTGTCCAAGTATTAGTCTGCTTGATATGTTCGTTGGAGATTAATTTAAGCACAAGATTTTAGTTTCAGCCTGTTGCCAATGGGGAGTGGAACTTGCCAAATAAAAAAAATGTCATAATAGAGTGTAATTATTTCAATTTTTCTTCCACAGTTTGTTTCCAGTTATATTCAAAGCCAATGGAATTGACTTTAGTGATGAATACTTAGAAATGAATGCAGATGTTCAGGATTGCCTATTACAAACAATTAAGCATTCAGAAGATGTCATTTTTGTCTGTATGTGGCCACACTGCAACTGCTCTATAATTAACTGCCTTACAATGAAGTCTGTGTGAGATTAATTTTACAAGAGGTGTCGTGAAAATGCAAATCATCACTGCAATGCTAGAGCAATTTTAATGTATTTGGGCAGCAAAATCAAGAGGGAAAACATAGATTAGATAAAGGTGTCAGTGTAACTTTTTTTTCCTATTGAAAATCCTTAGCTCTTGATAAATCAGACTGAAGAGCCCTTGTGTTTATCTAGCCTGTGCATTCCTTTGCACATACCTGTCATTGGCTGGTAAATCACTGCAACAAGATGGGTTATTTTGATCCTTCTGGCTGAGATGTGAAAGCCTCACTGCTGAGTTGGATGCACAGTACATCAAAACTTTGACCTGGGTTGCTTGCTGAGCTGACCAGCTCTGAATATTGCTATATTGCTCCTGAGGTGTCTCTTGTAATTCTCCTTATCTTGTTGTTCTTGTGGCCTGCACAGCATCAGAGAGCACAGCTGGGCATTATGTTGTAGGGGTGGTGAATCAGTATGATTTTCAGGCACTCTTAAGGCTTGTCATTTGTTTTTAAACTTTTTGTTGTTCAATCACTGGAAATTCTATGCTTTTCTAATTATCAGATACATTTCCCTCGTTTTCTGGCTTAATGCTTGTGTAAAGTTCCCTAATCTGTTGTTGTTTATGTAGTTTCAAAAAATTATAGTATTTGCTTGGCACACATGTTCCTTGTGACAGTTCAGTTAGCAGGACTGGTCATTCCCAGCAGTATCAGGTGGGCTTTGTTACCCAGAATTTCTGTAAAGCACGTCTCATCGGAAGCTTTGTTCAGTATTGATAAAGCATGTTCTGCCAGGTAACTTATTACTTTCACTAGGTCTGAATAGAAAATTAACAACCATTTGTCCAAACTGGACCCATCACTGTGTCAGCAGGAAGTGGACAGGTAAAAACTGCTCCTTGCTGTGTCTTTCTGTGCTGAGTTTAAGTGGCATAAGAAGTGTATTCAGCTGCCGGAGCTGACTGCTCTGCTCAGCAGTCTGATCACAGATTGGTGACTTCCTAAAAGTACTGCAAAGCAGTTAAACCAGTTTTTGTCCCCCTCTGTACATTATGTCTCAAAAATTAAGAATGCTCTTTTCCCTACTTATTTTTAGTTAAGGCAGAGAAAGCTGTTTCTCTGTACCCTCTGAGTCAACACTGACAACCCAATCACCATCTGACCTTGAGCGTAATTACCCTGGTAATCCCTAAGGTTCATTATTACCCAATATTTCCAGTCTAGTTAACAACTGCAGGATGGGGTGGACCAATAACTAGTATAACTTTGTTGATTTACCTGAAAACAAAGAGCCAGTTGTGAAGAGGAAAAAGGCTGGACTTGCAAACATGCAACCTCAGAGATGAGAGCAGGGGAAGGCAAGCCTCTTCATACTTAGTTTGCATCATGTGCACTCAGCTGTGCGTATCAGAGGGAACATTTTTCTCCTCAAATAAAAGAGCACTGTTCCAAAAGTCCAAGATAATTAAATAGTAATGTGTGAACCAAGGGATGGCACTGAAGTATATAAATATATATATATATATTTTTTTTTATTTTTTTTTTAGTTTTTGCAGTAATATAAATATACTGGGAAAACTTCACTTAGTAAACAGGCTTCTACTGTCCTTTGTCAATTTTATGTAGAATTTTACTGTATAATTTTTATTTTGTGACTTTACTGGTATTGTACAAGGTAGTGGCTTTTGAATTACTTACAATCATTCAGGAGTAGTGGAGTCTACACTAATTATTTTAACCTGTGCTCAACAGCCATTAATGGAATTAGTATTTTTTCATTCTTCACAGGTGTGGTAAAATAGCTGAATAGTGAGCCCTAATTATAATTGGCCTGTGCAACTTCTGTGTGAGAGCAACCAAATATGTAACAGATTATATTTCAAAGACTGGTTGGAGTGAATGTTAGTTTTTGTTTGGTGGTACTTTTTGGGGTAGAGGGAGTATTGTTTTTATGTTATGTGGTTTCTCAATAACTGCTTTAGTGCAGTAGGCAAAGACTTGGGGACAGTGTCTCTGTCTCACATGGATATGCCTTTAATGAGGAAATTCATAGGTTTCCTTTTTTTCCACTGTCTTGGTGGTTTGGATTTTCTTCATTTTTTTCTGCCTCTCCTTCTGCCGTTTGATGTTAAAGACCTTGTAATCCTGATTTATGAGCCACTATAATTGGGAAATGTATTCCTTTGCTAATGTTCTTTTACACTTTGATAATACCAGGAGCAGAGATCATGTCTTTTCAAGCCAGTAAACTCTTAGCTTTAATGGAAACTCCTGTAATCCAAAGGTGATATTGTGAGTTAATGATGGATCTGACTTTGATCCACTTATCCATAGATTTATCAGATTTATTTTAGTTATTTATTTTCATACTTTTCTGTTCTGAGTACTCCTTTTTTTCTCTCCTTTTCTTCAGGAGAAATACAGACCAAGACAATGGAGGTAATTTTGCAAAAGCAAGATGGGCCAGGGCTATTCAGAAGGTAAGAACTACTCTTAAAACAACTACTGTATCACTGTAATTTAAAAAATTTTCTCACTGTCAAGGAAAATTTGAGTTCATGTAAGCAGGACCTGCGGATGGGACTGCCAAGTTTCTGGTAGTTGAGACAATTTCTTCCATTGGTTCTTAAATCTGTGCTATTCCCTCACCTCAGGATTTTTTTTACTCTCAAACACAAAAAGGATGAGATTTTGAGACTTTCTTTAGTCTCAGAGCAGTGATTGTACTTTGGCCAACTTACAGGTGTTGCATATTAATCCAGATGCTATAACATCAGACATCTTTGTCTAAATAGTTTTTGATACTGAGGAAGGTTAGTATTGCATTGATATTTAATAAAAATTGTTTGAAGAGCATTTTTTCCTAGAAAAAATCTTGTAAATTCTACTGATGATATCACTGCCTCAACATGGATTTTTTATTAGGTGTGATAATTAAGGGAAATTAATATGAGCACTTGGCATCATTATTGACCACGTAAACAGACCAAGTATTTTCTTTTTCACTGTTGCTGTTAAACTGCAAACCACTACCTCACATCAGTTGCTGGGAATCCGCATGTTAGTTTTTGCCTTGTCTTCCTGTGTTGACTGTAGTGCTAAACTATTGTTGATAACTTCTGAGAAACACAGCAATTGTCTTTGGTGTGTATAGCGACCTGTGAGAAACTGAAGAGTCACAGACTTCCTGTTTCATTTGTGTGTAGACCTTTTGGAAACGCTGCTTATTCTCAGGTGGTGTGCTGTAAAATATCTATTCTGTGCTTTTATGGCACAACTAAACTTGTTTAGTGTAAATATGAGTCAAACTCCATCTAGAATACACCTTGGTCAGTTCATTTTGAGCTGTTTTTTCCTGTTCTTTGGGGACTAAGTACTATTTCTTTTTTACTGAATTCTCTTGTCTTTATGATAATCCATAGACTGTGCCTGTGTGAAAAGAGTGGTGGGGGAAATCTGTTTATACTGGGGTGTTGTGGGTGGAGTACTTACCTGATTCACATGATCTCACTTTCTGCATCCAATTCTGTCACCGGTTTGATCTTTTCCTTTTTTCTGCCAATGGTAGCTCACTGACAGAGACAGGCAGGAAGAATCCTGGTCTCTAATCAAACATCATGGTCAGACAAGTCAAATAGTCCAGTTTTTGTGGGTTTTTTTGCAGACAGAGGTTGCAATGGCCTTAAGATAAATTCTTCTGTGAGATTTCCTTCAGTGTGTGCTTAATTGCCTAGTCAATGGAATAAAGTTATTTCTGAGTTTAAAACCAAATAACTAATGCCATACAGTCAGCAACTTTGACTTGATGAATCAGCTGAATTTTGCTCAGATGTTAAAAGTATTTACATAAAGCAATAGTAGAATTGCGTTTCTTCCCACTGCTGTTCTTCAAAGTAATTTTGAGGTCAGGAATTAGAAGATGGTAAAGTAAGACAGTTAACATGCATGAGTTGGAATCTTGGGCTGCCACTGTGCCATTAAGTTGTTTTTTGTAGCAAAGTAATCAAAATTTCTTGGTGCACTGAAATATGAGCAGATTGCTCAGCAGCTAATCTAGCATCAGTATGGGGCTGAAAGTTGTTGGCAAAGTTATTGTGAGACTTTTAAGAATTTGAAGATCAGGTGGATGGGAGATGTCAATACATACCTCATGTGAAGCTCTTTTTGAAGAGGGCAATTTCTATAAATATTTAAAAGGCTAATTTAATTCCTGAGTAATTGCTTCATTTTATTTCAGTACAAATTAATTTGGATAAGGTTTTTCTTCTGATAAACTTATTGTCCCTGAAATACAGTTATGTCTTTAGTTCTTTACTCTTCAACCTTGTGGGTTGCCTTGGACTTTTTGCTTTGTCTTTTCTCTCTGAAGATAAACTGGTTTTCAGAAACAGTGCATTGGTATTATCTCAGCATTGATTTAGCACAGTTGATGTGACATTAAGTGCCATTGTTTGCCCAGAAACTCTGAAAGACATGAAGGATGAATCTCTGCCAATGCCTAATCAAAATAAATTTTACACTTGCAAGTATTATTGGGGCTATAAAAGGCCATGAGTAAAAAGAAATCCCATGCAGCACAATAAGATCAGAAGACTAAACAATCCTGACGTATTTTGAAGAGGATACAATACTCACAGAGCCTCATAATAGAGGCATGCAAACAGATAAATGAAGTAGTTTTCCACACAAAGCAATCACAATATGTAGGTAACTGCTGTAAGATACTACAACTACATGGAGGGAACTATCTCTATCCATAAGAAGCTGGAAAAATAAATAACAAACTTTAGTAACCATGAGGGAGATTTTTAGGCATCAAAACAGGCTTAGATAAGGAACCAGTCCCTGGAAGGTTTTAAGAACAGAGGAGTAACATTTTTTGGGGTTTTTCTAAACTATTCTTGGAGGCTTAGGGAAGTGGGTTTATCTTGGAACGGGGGGAGGGGGAGTATAATTTGCTCAGGGTGATGGGCTTCAGGTATTTCCTCACTGGTGAAACATGAATTCTTACTTAATAGAAAATATATTTGTGGCTTAGTTCCAGTAATAATATTTGGAATGTATGCTTTTGATGATAATCTATGGAAATATGAAATTGAATTAGGCTATTCTGATCAAATATGAGATGACAGCCCAGTGGTTTACCAGAGGCATTGTAGCTGATGAATATTTACTTAAACATTGACTAGATAGGAAAAGTGCCAAACTGTTTTGGAGAATATTTATTTTTAGATAATAAATTGCCTTGGTGCATATTTGAAATAGTAATAGTTAAACCTTCTTGCAATATATAAGATCTAACAGTGCTAAAATAAAAGCTTTTGGGAAATCCTTCCCCTCTTTGAGAGGGAGCAAAATTAAGAATTTGAGGTAAAACTTAATATCAGCAATTAATAGCTTTTTAAAAGACAATTCAAAACTGGATAGGGTCATCTAATTGTGCTTCTGCTAATTGATTTTAAAAAACCTAAACCACAATTCTTTTAAAATAATTCAGTCCCGGTGTCTGGTTTTCAGTTTCATGTTCACTGTATTCCAGAAACAGTGAGGCATTTTTTATTTGCCTTAGTTTTCTAACAGCTTTGAAATCAGTGATATGAAATACCGACAATAATTATGAAAAGATGCACTGGGAGAGTTTTTTCTTGTAACTCAGTGTCAGCCATGAGTACAATCAAATGGGTTTTCCCTTCTCCCCCCTTCTACCCCAGCTGTATGTGTCACTTTGATTATATCTTTAGCTACTAATCCTTAGTGAAGTAGTGACTGTTGTGCTGCCGAAATGTATTGGAATAAATAAATGTCACTTCTCTGAGATGGATATGCTTTTTTATCAACTACAAAGCACAGTAATTCATTCCTAAGACTAACATTAAGCAGGATGCTACTCATGTAAGTTGCCCTTTGTATAATTCCTCAACTGTTTTTATTGACAACAATGAGTGTTGGAGACAAAAAAAAAAAAAAACCAGTGACACAGTGGCACTATATTGACTGGATTTATAATCCGGAGATCAACAGTGAGAGTGGCACAGATCTGCCTTGGTAAATCTTCCCAACATACATTATTCCTGATTTTGCACAGTGAGCATAACACATCTATAGATCTCTAATTATTCAAAAAATTAATATATAGGTGTGTTCCAAAATTTTAAAAATATTAGGTAGAATTAAATGGCTGCTGTGCATTGTTGTAATGCTGTTCTTTGTGATTTGTGGTGAATTACATGATGGATGAAGTGGTGATGTTCCGTATGAGAACACTCAATAATAGAGAAGTTATCAGCAGCTTCATTTTGTCAGCTCTATTGATTTACTGTCTTATTCAGAAACAGAACTTGATAAACTAATACTAAAGCAGATATTACACAATGACAGCAGTGGGAATTTAAGGCAGGGAAAGCAGAAATCATTCTTTGTTTAGAAGCCACAGGGCTATGAGATTAATGCCAAACTTCTCTTTAAAAGATATTAATGACCCAAATTTTTTTTTTTGTTTTAAAAAGCAATCTTTCAGTTGAAAAAAATTTTAACCTTGTATTCCAAGTAAAGCAAGCATGTCTTGAAATGAAACAAACATTTCCCTTTCATAAAGTATTAATAATAGATATTTTTCGTCCTGATTAAACTAAAAAGTACTTATGTTCAAGTAGCAATCAGCATTTTTATTGGGTGAAATGACTGTCAGCAAAGAAGCTGCTTTAAGTTTTTTTAATTTATTTCAAATATTAAATATTTAAACAAAAAGTGATAAACTGACAATTGGAAAACAGAAATGAAGTGCACTTTTCAATTAAATGAGTTCATCATTAGTGCAAATTTGCCAAGCTGCAGATATTTTGACAATGATTTGAATGCTAATTGGTGCATGAGGAAGCTCAAAATATACCTGATAAGCTAAAGGAATTTCTGGGATGTTTTTGCTTTATAAATCACATATTTAATATATATATAGTATCTGAAGAAAATTAGTAATGGGTTATATCGAGCAGTCCTATAATACAAAGAATTTTGTCTATCTTGGGTCTGAACTCTGCGTTTACATGAAGAAGGTACAAAGGTCAGTGTGGGGCAATTGGACCAACAGTCCCAAGATCACTTCATAGTTGCCTTTAAGGTTTTCAAAAAGTGGTGTTTAGAAAGCTTACTTTGACAAAAGGATAAAGGCAGAAGTTCAAGATTGTGTTGCACATCAATTCTGAACAAATTGATTTTTGTTTCTTCTACTTCCTATCATTTTAGGTAATTTTTTTTCCCCTTTTCCCTCTGGAATGACATCCTCTGAAAGTTTCTCAGGGAGAAAATATTTCAAAATTTGATATAATTATGAAGAAAATAAAATGGAGATTTTTTTTTTAATCTGACCAGAGTTACAGTTAATTTACTTGAAGACTTATTTTAACTTAGATCTTCCTATGGTATTGTGAGTTTAGATAGTCTATGATTTACTCCCTGCCCTTCCTGCCTTAAATCAATGTGA